TGGCCCCGGCCCCGGCCCCAGAGCTGGCCAAGGGGGCAAGAGGTGACAGGCTCGAAACTGGGGGGTGAAGGGACCTGCCTGCCTGGTGGCAGTGGCAGGTGGATCCCGACAATATTATTGTTTTATCCCTACGGGTATAAGTTTGAGTTTTTCTCTCCTAATGCCAAGTATTTAAAACCTCTAGAAACCAATGATTTGACAATCAATGATTGCGCGATACTTTCAATTTGAATATTCAAAGGCTCCACAAAATGGGCTATCTTTTTGTGAAACCGAGCACATCCCCATCTAGCAGAGGGTCTGGGGGAACAAGATTTGGTGGGGCCACCCTCCCCACCCTTTGCTTTTGGGACATTTGCAGGGTTTTACCCATCTTTCCCAGAATGAAGCAGATGCCTCGAAACCTGCCCAAGTGTTTTCCCCTCAGATGCACAGGCTGGGCTCCAGCCCTCTCATATTTCATTTGCTACCTGCAGAGAGGACTCTGCCAGGCACTGAGTTGCTTTTTGCACATTTTTTCACATTTTAAGGCTAAATGCTGAGGGTTTGGGGCCAAAATGGCAGCGGGGTGGGCGGGGTGTAACAAAGAGGCTGCCCTGGGTACCCAGATAGCTGAGGGTACCTGAACCCCGCTTCTTGCCACAGCATTCCCTCCCCCTGCCCAGGTGCTGGGCTCACTTTGGAGTTTATCTGTGCTTTTCCCTAATTCAGACTCTTTGCTTTTGCTGCACAGGTTGGCCTCTCTCTCTCAGGTGCCTCAGCACTGACCTGCCCTGTGAGCTGCACGTGGGGGGTTCAGTGTGTGTAGGATGAGAGGCTTTGTGGATAAACCACACAACACTGACATACTTGGAGTTTTTAGGCTGAGTTTAAGCTTTTCCCTGGGGACCACAGTCTCTGCAGTGCTCAGGGAATCTCTGGCTGAGGCAGAGAGCAGGCCAGGCTGTTAATGATCTACCAGCAGCTCAGCTTGGCTGCTGTCACAGCCCAGTCTTTGCTTTTCCTTTAAGCTGAACAAATACACTTGAGTTCTGTGGGGAGTGATCCCAGCAGGGAGCCCATTCTCCCTGACAGAGCCTTGTGCCTTAAGGAAACACCAGGCATCTGTGTTGGGGATGTTCCTGCATGTCCTGGGTTTGGGAGAAGTTCCAGGCTCACAGAGACCCTGCCTTAGCTGGGAGCTGAAGGCCAGAGAGGGTCAGACACTTCCAAGACAGCTCAAAAACCTGTCCCTGCTTCTCTCCCTCACAGCCTGATGTCCCTGTCCATGGAAACCCCTTGAGGAAGGAACAAGAGATGGTCACTGTGGCTCAGCCAGGCAGTGGGCTCAGCTGTGGTGTGGAACAAGGCTCTGGGCTCGTGCAGGACTCAGGTTTGGGGGCACAGGGGCTGGGTGTGGGGCAAGGAGATCTGCACACACCCTGAGAAGCTCTGGGGCTCCTTGGCTTGCCCTGAACCATGGTCAGGGGAGCAGCTCTGGCTGAGCAGGTGCCACCCCAGGATGCTCCACACCTCTGCTCATGAGAGCCTGCAGTGCCCACAGACCAAACTGGGAGTAACTGGGCTCACCCTGCCCTGTGGGTGTGCAGCAGCCCTGGCTAAGCTCTCTTCCCCTTGGCTGAGCTTTCCCTGTCCCACCAGCAGAAAGGAGGGCACGACCAGTGGGGTGGGCAGAGGTGAGATTTGAGGCACAGTGAGCCTCAAATTCAGAAGTTCAGACATTTCCAAGCGGGTCTGAGTGAGGCTGGGGAATCAGGATGGACCCCAGCTCAGGCAGGATCAGGGCTGGGTGCTCCTGGCTGGCCATGCCCTCTGCCTGAGCAGGGGCTCCCCAGTCCTGGGGCAGCCTGGGCACAGCTCTTGGCAGGGTTGCTCACAGGGCTCTGGCAGATCCCCCTGTTTCCAGGGGCAATGCTGGCCCACCTTCCCCACAGAGAGGTGCCCCCAGGCAGCACGGCATGGGGAGATGCTCTGAGCCCAATCCTGTGTCCCCGGTGCCATTTATGATCCCTGGAAGGTGCTGTGAAGGCTCCAAAAGCCCCATTATCCCCAGGATTTGAGGAGAAAAGGCATCTCATCACTTGATATTCCAAGGTGTTGGAATGCTCCTGTTCATCCCCAGAGAGGCTTTTGGTGCTGCTGCTGTGGGCGCCAGGCTGGGGGCGAGATGGGGCACATGGGGTGGTCTCCTCCAGGGGCAAACCCGTCGGGATCTGCTGCATCTGTGAGGGTTCCACGGGGCTCCTGGGTGCGTTTGTGTGTGCAGAGCTACCTCTAGTGGCCACGGGGCCCGGACTGGCCCCGGGACAGCTCTGTGGCTTCTCGAGGGATGTTGGGGAGGGTGTGTTTTGTGCACTGCAGGTGAAGGCAACCCCCTACAGAACCATTAAACCCTTAAGGCTGGAGAAGCCCCCTGGGAAGTCCCTGAGGCCCAAAAGGTGCAGATATTTTTCAGGCTGTGGGTTTTACCTGTGGCACAGCAGGACTGTGAGCAATGACTTTCACAAGGCACTAGAAGGCACCACTTGGTATTTACAAGTGATTGTATTTCTAAACAGAGCACAAAGCATCACACGTTGCAGCACCTTCTGTTTGAAGGTTTAGAAAAGAGGGAACAAATAATTAATGGTCCATTTTCTGATTTTTCCTGCAGCTCTCCTCTCCCATCAGTAAGTTCTCCGGCCTTCATAAGTCCCCCAGAGGGCACTTCCATCCTCTTTTGCCCAGGCAGGGTTATCCTGGAGGTGTGGGGTCTCTGAGGACTGCTCTGGGCAGAGGTGGCTCATCCTGGAGGGCGGCTCGTTCCCCACGGCCGTGAACGGTGAGAAGGTGTAGGGTGAGCTGGGGGAGCAGTGGGCATCTTCCAGAGGGTGCAGAGGGTAGGGCTGGGCTCCAGGGATGGCTGGGGTCCAACCTGAGCCCCGGAACGGGGAAAGCCCCCCGGGTTCAGGCGGGGAGAGGCAGCTGGAGCCGGGAGGCAGCGCTTGCAGGGGCTCTGAGCACGCGGCGTCCGACTGGCCCAGGCTGTCAGCTGAGCTCTGCTCCCAGGGCTCTCTCTGCAGGGGAGCAGGGGGAGAAGGCAAGAAAGACCCTTAGGAACAAAAGCTTGTCCTGGAGGTAATGGCATTTCTATCCCCGGGGCCCAGCTGGGAACACTCAGAATCCCAGAATGGGCTGAGTTGGAAGGGACCCTCAAGGATCATCGAGTCCAACCCTCAGCCCTGCACAAGCCCATCCCCAAGAGTCACACCCTGTGCCCCAGAGGATCATCCAAACCCTTTTTGAGCTCTGGCAGCCTTAGGGCTGTGCCCACTGCCCTGGGGAGCCTGTTCCACAAGGGTTTCTGCTGCTCTGGAGCAGTGTTTAGTGTTAAAACTATTGCACAGAAACATCCATCCTGTCCATAGGATGACACTTGAGAAGTATCAAGGGCTGGAATAGCATCCCAGTGGGACTGACCAGCCCTGATCCTACAGGAGCTCTGCCCTGGGGGTGTGACAGGAGCTGGCTCCTGGGAAGCAGCAGGGATGGGGGATAGGCAACAGCCTGGAACTGCCAAAGGATGTTTCTAGAAATTTTAAGGAGCTTAATGCAGTAGTTGCTCTGGGGAGCAGGGAAGGTTGGTCTCTCACAGGGAAAAGGGAGAATTAGATGGGAACAAAGATAAAAAACCTTCCCTGCAGAGCTGCCCCATCTGCTGGGGGCTCTGCTGTGTATCAGCCACTTCCTTCCCACGAGCCCCCCCGACTGAACCCTGGGGTTTAAATGGGGTGACCTTTTATTGGGTGACAGAACCACAGACTCACTCACTAGTAGGAAGTGTCCTGTGTCCCCAGGGAAGGATGGCAGCAGAGGGGGCACAGCAGAAGGGCTGAAGAAGGAGCTGGCACCAGGAGCGAGGGGGGGAGCATGGTAATCCCCGCACTGGTCGCTGAGATACGAGTCCAGCAGGGCTGGGTAGCCCTGAGAGGCAGAGGAATCACAGGAGAAGGGCTTGGAGCCCACAGGGGACGAGTAGACATCACTGACAAACTGCTTGGTGCTGTGGAAATCCAGCTCAGCTGGGAAGGGTCTCCTGACTCCGTAGTAACTGGTGGGAGGGGAGCCTGTGGTGGGCAGAGAACAGGTGGGACAAAGGGAAGCTGTGACAGCAGCACCTGGGAGTCACAGAGCCATGGACACCTCTGGGGGTGCAAACCAGAGCCCTGTTCTCTCCAGCATCACCCAGAGAAAGAGTCAATCCTGCCTTGAAATGGGTATGTGAGCCCAAGTGCTTTTAGCACCCCAGCCTGCCCTGGTCCAGCTGGTGACCTCCATCTGTGGCCAGCCAAATGTGTTCTGGGAAGCTTTAAATAGGAGGCCTCCTTTTAAACAGGGAGATTGAGGGCAGTTTTGTCAGCCTCTGCTTCTTCCTTGGGGAGGAGGTTCCAGCCTCACTCCCCTTTCCCTGCCCAAGAGCTTAAGGGATGGAACAGGTCAGCTCCTCATTTTGTACTTTCTTTCCTCTGCTCCAGAGAAAACTGGAAGATGCAGAAAGAAAAGAAGGGATTCTGTGTGGCTCCTCCATCAAAAGAGGTGGGAACTGCTTTAATTATCTCCCTTTCCTCTCTTTGGGAATTTTACACAAGATTCTTGCTGTTCCTGTTTTGACTCTTGTAATTACTTTCCTCCTGGGCTCTCTCTGAGGGGTGGCCCTGCTCCAGGGCTCCTTTGCTTATTCATGTCCTCTGGAGGAGAACAGACAGGGCTGTGTCAACTACCCAGCCTGCATGGAAGGTATTTATCAGTGGAGGAAAACCTCACCTGGCACTTGGACAAAGGCTGACTGTGGTGTGCTGGTGCTGCCCTGCAAGAAGACAAAGACAGGTTAGAAAATTGCCTTTCCAAGGCGAGGTGGCTCTTTGAACACGTGGTTTGGGAAGGTGTTGGCATAACTCAGATGCACTGTTTGAGCCTTGGTGCTGTGAAGGGCTTAACAACATGATTTCAAGCCTCTGAGGCATTAGCAGATGTAGGCTAAGAAGAGATTGTGGAGGTCTTGTGCAGAGCTGATAACAGGAGAAGTATCAAGATAAATGGCTTCTCTCTGGTGCACTGCAGAGTCCTTTAATGCAGGCACAATGCTGAGCACTCATTTTGGTGCTGGCACAAAACAGGTCTCAATAAACTGGTATTTGAGCCCTTGACTGGTCAAAATGGGCAGATTCTGAGTCCTAGCTCAGCCCACCTGTGCTGCTTTGCCTGGCTCCTCCTCACAGCACAAGCAGGCTCTCTGCAAAGGCAGTCATTTCTAATTCCCTCTTGGGTCCTGGAGCAATGCTCATCTTAATAATAATCCCTTCTGGGTGCCCAGGGAAGGGAGAATTAGCCCTGAGTGACCCTGGTGCTCACAGTGCCTAATTCCTCACAAAGCACCGTGGCAAAGGCACCTGCTGCTCTGGAGCAGAGCTCATACCTGGGGTTCCATTGAGTTTTGGGACCTCCAAACCTCTCAAACAGAGACACAGAGCCCATGGCTGCATTTATTACATCTCTCCAGTGCTGGGGACAGGCTATTTTCAGTTTGCATAGTGCAAACAGGAGGTTCCTGCCGTAGCAGGCAACCAAATTTAGAGGTTTGAATTTGAATTAAAATTTGCCAGTGCTGGGACTTCCTTTTGCTGCCGAGGGAGGTTTTGCAGCTGCTCCCTGGTCAGTCATGAAAATGAGCTGTGAGCCAGCACAAGCCACACGGGCTCCAGAGGTGACAGGAGGGGGTAGGAAGGAGCCCCTTGGCTTGGGGATGAAGAAGAGTGTCCATGTCACAGGGTCAGGGCTGGCACCAGCCTCCAGCTGGGTCATTTTTGGCTGCAGACCCCAGTGAGGATCCCCTCTGGTGGTGCTCACTGCCCAGCAGGGCTCAAGCCTCCACATGCAAATCTGGCCTGGGCAGACACCCCTCTCTCAGCATCCATGTCACTTCAGGAGGAAAAGGTGGTCCTGGGGGGTGCAGGTGGCACAGACCCTGCCTTAAAGGACAAAGGGCTGCAGTGATGAGAGCTGGGATGGGCCAGGAGGGTCCTTGGCACAGCTGCCAGCCTTTAGGATGGAGCATTCCCAGTTATCAGAGCCTCTGAGTTAATCTCTGCCCACTGAAACCGCCTGACCGAGTGTCCCAGGCAGGACTGCAGTGCACACACCTACAGTGGGGGCTCACAGAGCTGGGCTTTGCTGCCTTAATTCAGCTGCAGGAGCCTCTGCTGCAGCTCTTCACCAGAGCAGGCACCACGTGCTTGCAGGGACCTGCATTTCATTCCCCTCCTCGCTCCTTATCTGGCGATGAAAGGCTTGGCTTAATTGAAGCCCATTAGTTCATTTCCTTGCCTGCATTGCTTCCTCTCCGTGGGGCTGGGGGGGGGCTGGATCCTCTGCAGCACTTCAGTGTGTCTGTCCAGCATCCCCTGGGCTCTCCCAGCACGTTCAGCTGGTGATAAGCTGGGTCTCAGCCTGCCCTGCACATGGCCAGGCAGAGATCCTGGCTGGAAACGCTCCAGAGAGCTGGGTTGCTTCACTGCCTCGGGGGGCTAAATGGAAGGACCCAGGTCAAAACAACGACCTGGTCCTGCAAGGGGGATTTATGGTGCCCTCTCAGCAATGTTTTGGCTTCAGTGCATCACCTCTCTGGGCCCAGTTTGTAGAACAGAAGCTAAAGTGATGAAAATTCGTAATAGAAGCAAAGCTTAGTCTGTGCAGGGCACCTCAAATGGTCTGTCCCTGGCTTCTGAGTGAGGCTGGGTGCTCAACACCACTGCCCTTTAAACCAGAGGATTGCAGTGCTTCACCTGCACACCCCCCCTTTTCTATGTCTGAGGAAAGATGGGAACCCTGTTATCATGCAGGGGGGAACTGCAGGTTCATACCTGTGCAAAGGAAAAGTGGGACCCTCCCTAAAGCCCAGGGCCAAGCCCTTCTGCCCTGCAGTTGGTGCAGAACCCCAGATTTTGTGTGGTTTTCATCACAGCATGCCCTGGTCCTTGTGGGTCCCTTCCAACTCAGCATATTCTGTGATTTCCTTTAATTTGATGTGTGCAGGGCCTGAATGACATGAAATTCTGGCTGTTGTGCTGCCTCAGTAACCAGCCCAGCAGCTCATCTCTGCCAAGCCCTGACCTTCCCTCCTCCAGAGAGCTCCCCTTTCTCCACAGAGGCCGAGGGATTATTTCTTTTTTTGGGGATGGGGGAGCAAAGATCGTGCTCAGACAAAAGATGCAGCTGAATCCCACGGCATCATAAACACACAAAGGGGTGTTCAGTTATCTGCCACTTGGTTTTATCCTGCCAGACAAACAGAGCTGCACTTACAGCTGCTCTTTTCTCACCATATCTTCGAGCAAATACGGATGTTTGCCCTGCACAATAATTTTTTGTCTCTCCTTGGGAATTACCACGAGATAGACACGCAACTGCTCAGCTCTGGAGGACAAAGCCAAGGGCAATAAAGCAAGGAGCAAGAATTTTACACTTCCTGAGCCTTCTCATTGCAGCTGTTGGAGCTGCTGCCTCCAGAAAGGGAGCAGGTAAAGTGTGATGTCACCATCCAGGAGCTGTTTCCTCAGTGAGGGCAAACACAGCAGTTGCTTCCTACTGCTCCACAAAGCATAATTCCTAAATATCTGCCTGCTGGGAGCATGTCTTTCCCACTGACTGTCCGTGGCTCGGGGGGTCTTCTTCCTTTCTGCAGCACCTGAAGGCTGTGAGGTGGCTGGAGATCCATCTCTGTGGCTGGATCTTGCTGTGTTTTTAACACCCAGTGCTGGTTTTCTGCCTGTTTTGCTGCACAGATTTAAGCCACAGCGAGCAAACCTCTTACAAGTGTTTTATGCTTGCAAGTCCCTTTGAGGTTTCTTCATTTTGCTGAAGGCAAAAAGCCTGAGAGCACCAAAACTCCTAATATGTGTCTCCTGCTGCCAGTAATCTGGGTTTCTGCTCTCACTCTTTCCTTCCAGGGCGCAGTTTCAGCTGCTGGGCTGCACCTCCTCATCTGCCAGAGTCCCCCTGCTCCCAGGAGATGGAACTGAGGAGCTGCTGCTCCTTCAAGGTGAGTCTTGGGAGCACCCAGGGAATAGCTGGTCGTGCCACTGGGTGCCACGTGCTGGCACTGCAATCTTGCATTGCTTTGCTGGCTTTGCTGGCTGGCAATTGAGGGAAAAAAAAAACCAATGTAGTGGTACCAGAGCCTGGCCTGGGCTTCCTGTTGCCATAGAGCCACTTTAGGAAGAGATCATCTCCTCCAAGCTGCTGCTTGGCCTCCTGCCAGCCCATAACATCACTGCATCTCCCCTGGCACGCTCTGGTGTGTGCCAGGGAGGAGCTGGAAGGAGCACAACGTTCGGGGAAGAGCAGCTATTTTTTATTGGCACTGAGTGGTCCGAGTGTGGCTGGGGGGGGGAGAAAAGGAATTTGGCTTGGAAAGGTGTCACACGCAGGATGTGAGAGGAATAATGAGAAATTTAGCATTACTGGTGCGCTTAAAATAGAAAGAAAAATACTTTCAGGCATTAGTTCACTGATGTGAAAAATCAAGGAGTCATCAGGGATGTTCTGGGACAAGCAGTGGTGTTGCAAATGTTTTTGCTGTTCCCTGCCAACGCTGGAGGTGCCCTGAGCTCTGCCAAAATGCTCTTTAAAGCAGAGGGTTGGATGACATGTCTTTTTTGGGTTAAAAAAAAGGTGGAGAGGGAGTGACTTACGCTGAGGTGGGAGCCACTGCTCTGCCTGGAGCGTTTCTCAGCAAGAAGATCCTTGACTGTGTGCTTCACCCTCACTCCTTGGTACACACGTTTGCCAAAATCTGTGGGGACTGAGGGGTTGAAAGGAGCATTAGGGAGTTCAGTGGGAGCCCAGAGCGGCTGGAAGAGGTTGTTACAGAAGGAGAATATTCATCACATCTCTACATCAAGGCAGGAAGGAAAAACTGCAATTGTTAACACAAGAATCATCCCTTTGGAGCTCAGCAGTGAGAGCTGCTCATCTGCAGGGGAAGACTGAGGTGCCCTAACCTGTGTTTCCACATCGAGTCCACATGGTTTTCATGCAGCTCTCTCTCTGTCTGATGTGGCTGTCTCATGGTTTTTTGGCTTCTGTTCTACCAAAGAGAGCTCCAGGGGGTCCCACATTTCCCCTTTGAGCCAGCAAATGTTTCTTTAACCCTTTGGTTTCAGCAGAGGTGCTGTGGTTTAGCCCTCCTGGGCTGCTGGCTCTCAGCACATCTCTCTGCCAGCTCTGATCCCGGGGTGGGAATCCCCTGGGATGGCTGGAGTGGCTCCTCTGAACACTCATGTGGATCAGAGAAGGGAAAAGAAGCTTTATCCCCACAGCAAATCCAGCAGGTGCTTGTGGACTCTGCTTTATCCAGGTTATTCAGGAAGGCACAAGTGGGTGAAATGTCTCTGCCACGTCACCCAAAGAGGCTGATGGTGGGTCTGGCTCTGTTTTTTGGCCCTGCTACAATACCAGGGACAGCTCTTTTATCCTGGCAGGCTGTGCCTGAACACAGAGCTCACACCTGTGGGGCCAGGGAGGGGTTTCCATATTTGGATTTTATTGAAATCTTCTGGGGAGGGGAAAAAAAAAAAAAAAGCTTAACTTTGAAGTTAATCCCTTGGAAAACACACAGCCACGTTCTCCTGAGGGAACACAAACTGCCACCCCACAGCTGATGTGTTTGATCTCTAAAATTTATCATTTGACCCTTCTGCTTTGCAGGATGTGTCCTTTGGCCCCGTTTATCCCTCTCATTCCTGTGGCATTGTGTCCCCAGGTGCACAGGCACGGGATGCACGGGGAGGGATTAGAAAGGAAAGAGCAGGGGGTTTAAACAACACGGTGCTGGCTTGGGGTTACCCCAAATGTTGTCTGCTGGGCCACAGAAATTGCAATTTGGGGCAATTACAGCTTGGTTTTGGTGTTTGAGTGCTAACCAGAGACTTCAGCCAAGACTGGGAATGAGGTGAACACGCTCAAGGGGCAGTGCCCCAAAAATAGAGGTGGACACTGAGCCTCATATCCAACAGTGAGTGTCTGAAGTGGCCAGAAATGGATATCAATTCTTACAGCTGAGAGGAATCTGCACACTGAGACTGGGTCTTTTTTTTCAGAGCCCAGGGAAGATTCTCCCTCCTGTTCTGCCTTTTTGGGGCTGTTTCACTGGCAGCAGCTGGGAGCACAGGTACCTGGTACTCGTAGCCAGAGCTCAAAGCAGGTACAACTGACAGAAAAAGCTGCACCTTTTGCATCAGGAACTTCCCATTTTCCCCTGAGAGTTCCTTCAGAGACAAGAACATTGTGGTTTGATGCAAAAGCCTGAGCTGCAGGGCACAGTTCATCGAGCTCCATCACAGTTTGATACCTGTGGCAACTCAGTCTTTGGCTGCATCCAGTTGGAAATCAGGCCTTGATCCAGCACAGAACCACTGGAGGACAAACTGAAGCCAGAGGCAGACTCATATTTAATTTTCAGAACGGGGATATTGCTCAAAAAGCTGTGAGCAGCTTTTATTCTTTTATTCTGCAGCCTGACTTTCCAAACCCCCCAAGCTCTTTGCATTAACTGCCCCTTGCTGCTCTGTTTCCAGCAAGAGTCTGATGAGTCTCAGAAACAAGAGTCTGATGCTCTGCACTTCTGCAGATGTTTCCCTGGCATCTTTAGTGTGCTAAAAAAGCTTTACAAAAACACTTCCACACCTCTTTATTTTTACACAGAAGTTCTGTGCTGTTGAATTTTCTCCCTTCATTTGGGCAGTTACTTCTCTGCCCAAATTGTTTTAATTAAGCCACAAAATGGCTCTGTCCTTTAGCCTTGTTTTTCAGTTTTCAGTCCAGCCTCACAGAACTCAACCTGTTGCTTTCAGTGAATTATTCAGGAGCATCTGATGCTGAGCTATTAAAACTTCAGATAACTCTGCTACTGGCAGAATTGTGGAAGAAAATGCTAATTTAGGCCTGAGTTTATATAATTTTCAGGCAAATTGAATCGTATTTCACATCACTTTGATCTAACTGCCTTTTGAAAAACATTGCACTGTGGAGGAATATAAATTCAGCTTAGAGAAGGCAGAACATGCTAATTGATACCATTAAATTCTTGGGACATCGAACATGCCACATGTTGATTTTAAGACAATTCTTTCTGATTATTTCTTTTTTAAAATGAGCCCAAGAACAGCACAGAATGTTCTCTCCCTGGTAATTCCATGAGGAGGCATCCTGTGAGAAGTCAGGGGTGCTGGAACTCACCTGTTTCCATTGTTGTTGCTGCAGCTGCCAAGTCCCAGCTCTTGGATCCTGCGGGATTTTGGAGAAGGGCTGTGTCTGTCATGAGCTTCCCAGGGCAGAGTGAAACCCGTGCTCATGTTCCCCTGGTAAACTTCCAGCTGAGAAAGCTGGAGGAAATAGGTTTTCTCCAGTTCAGGGATGTCTCCACGACACCTCACTTGGGATTTGCTTAAATGCAAATCCCTGGATCTGTGTCTCACTCCCATTTGCATGGTCAGTGGGGATCCTTCCCAAAGAGGCTCCTTCCTGTCCGACCTGACATTTCATGGATGAAACCCAAGGTTTGGGGACAGAAAAACCTTGGTTTCAGGTGAAAGGGTGGCAAGTCCTGCGGGGGTGAGCCACCTCCTTACAGGTGAGGGATTTGGCTGGGAAAACAAGGCTTGGGACAAGAGAATCTTCTCTTGTTGAGTGTGAGACACCCCCGAGCTGTTGGAGACACGCACAGCAGACCTCGCTTGGGCAGTGGTTCTGTCTCTCTGGGACCCCCCAGTTTGTGCTTTGCATCATTAAAACTGTCTCTTTGGACACTGGGAACCCAGGAGGGCTTTGCCTGGAACCCACAGGCACCTGCAGGGAGAGGGATAACCTTCAGCCAGGGACAGAATGTTCGTGGGAGCGGCAGGAGCGTCCACCAGCAAACCCACACGTTCCTCGGGAGGGAGCCTGAGGAGGGGTCCCCTTTCTGGAGGGCTGGGTTTGTCCTCCAGGGAGGCACCAGGAGAGGGAACAGCAGCCAGGATAGGACCTGTTTGACACTGCTGCTGGACCCAGATTTAAAGGAGTGTTGGCCAGACCTGCTACAGCCACTCCTGCGTGGGCAGCGAGGCTGTGCAGTGTCTGAACCACAGGGCAGAGTTAAGCCTCTAAACTCCTCTTTAATCACTGCAAGGGGGTATTTTCCCTGTCAGGAGGACGAGGGCAGGCCGTGCTGAGGCAGAGGATCTCTGGAGTGCTTTGTGCACAAGCACAGAAGGCTGCTGTGCAGCACTTCTGCTCATCTTACAGGAGCAGGGCAAGGCTGGCGCCAGCATGTTCCTCCTAATTCAATATTCCTCCTTGTGGAGTCTGCTGCCAGCTCGTGGGGCCATTAGGAAAGATCCTTCCCTCCTTGTAATCCATGTGCTTCCCCCAGCACTGGCCTGGAGACTAATTTGGGTGGTCACGTGACCCACCTTCCTGGGTTTTTTATAAGTGTAATTACTCTTTTCCTTCAGAGGAAATAAAACACACCAAGAGCAGCAGCTGGCAAAGGCTGTGTCTGTATCACCGAGGCAGAGCTGAAACGATATCCTGAATAATTCCCAAATATTCTTAACTTGCAGGAGTAAATTCGGGTGTTCTGCCTGCTCAGGGCCCAGAGGACACCACACAGTAATGGAGTGTCATCCTGTGTAGAGCCTTTCACCACCCTCTTGTATAAACACAACTCTTATTTTGGCCCGTCTACCCCTTTTCCACCCCTTCCTGGTGCCCACAGGTGCCCAGGATTTGGCAGGCAGGTCAGAGAATGGGCAGGAGCCTCCAGGTGGGGCAGGGAAGGGCAGGCAGATGTGAAGTGGCACAGAAAGGGGGGTTGTCTCTGCTTTGTCAGCAACGGGCTTTGTTTGCCACCTGCCTCCTGGAACACTGCCCAGGGAGTTTTGTCTCCTGGGGATGAATCTGCAGAGGATACACACGTTAAATCCCAGCCCCATTCAGGCTTTGCAGTGTTCAGTCAGTCCAGGTGTTCTCTGTGCTGATTGCAAAGTAATTGCATTGAAAACAAACCAACCTCGCAGGAAACAAACAAACAGAGATGGAGCAAAAACTCAGCCAGCCCTTCTTTGAGGTGAGATCAACCTCTTACCTGATGTTTTCATTTGAAAAGGCATCACACCCAGGTTTTCTTTATAATTTAATGGGTCTGGGCACGTGCTTCCCACTCACATCAAGGGCAGAGCCGCTGTGTGTGACAGGAGTTACAGAAACCATTGTGCACAACACGCTTTGGGGCACATTTTATACAATCCCATTTGCTTTTATAAGACGTTTGCCAGTGCCAAAGCAAACTCTGAGAACTGTGCCTCCGTTCTGTGTCACAAAGAAAGCCCAGCACAGCAGATGTAACAGTCAGTGTAGATTTGTTTAATTCAAACTGTCATTTCGATCCATCTCCTCGTTGCTGAGTAAAGGGAATTTGTGGCATTATCTCATGGTTGGAAGCACAGCACTCCTGGGGTTTGTGTCCAGCTCGGTGGGTTCTCAGTGTGAGGGCTCTTGTTTAGGCAAGGAAGGGTCCTGGAGGCACCAAAAATTAACTCAGAATGGTTTGGGTTGGAAGAGACCTTAAAGATCATCCAGTCCCACCCACCTGCCATGGGCAGGGACACCTTCCACAGACCAGGTTGCCACAACCTGCCCTTGGACATTTCCAGGGATGGGGAAACTCGGGGCAACCTGTGCCATGAACTGAAACACAACAAGTTCCACCTCAACACGAGGAAGAACGTCTTTCCGTGGAGGTGGCAGAGCACTGGAACAGCTGCCCAGGGAGGGCGTGGAGTCTCTGGAGACATCCCA